TTATGTAAGATTTAATCATAAATTATTTAATTTAGCAAAACTGTTTTTAATCAATAAATTATTTTAATTTAGCAAAACTGTTTTATGTAAAAAGTTTACTTATGTGCAAAGTCAATTAGGAAATCTCTTTTTTCTATTTTTTTTTTTTTTTTTTTTTTTTTTTTTTTGAGGAAAATTAGGAGTTCTCTATTGATGGAGAATTATTTATTTCTCTATTTTTTTATCAATAGTTATACCAGTCATATATAAAATCACTATTTTACTTATAAAATTTAAAAATCTTAAAATCATTGTTACTAGCCCGACAACGTGTGATATTATTGTAAAAAGAGAAGTTTAAGGTTTCACGAGGTGGATTTTCAAATTTCAGGAGGCACCACAATTTTTTTTTCTTTTTTCCAAATTTGGGAGAGCGAATGTGTTGGGCCTCTCTCAACAGGATAACTTTATAGTAACAATAAGGTTATACATCTACGGAGTTAAATATTTTCTCCCTCCGTTAGAGAATTATAGAAGGCAATTGCCCCTTGATGCTGCATAGATGTTTCTGCTTATTGGGCACTGCATGGGGATCAAGTGATGGGGCTAGTTACGGAGAATTGCGTTATACAATATGTATATAGTGGACCCAGAACTAGTGTGAGAACGAGTCGTAATAATTCAAATATATATTGCAATTTGTATGTGCAGTTTAAGCTTTAGGGTAATTAAGTGGAAGCAAATTATATGAGAAGATGACCAATTGTCCTTGAAGGATTCTACATTATTATCCTCCTTATTTCAAATTCTACATTCATGTGCTTTCTTCAATATGCTTACCAGACATTAAATGGATTGCATTTACAAAACCTGATTCGTTTTCCACTTTTAATGCAGTGTATTGCCAGAGGATGACTGGTTTAATGAGATTTGTCAAGAAGCATTGGAAAGATTAAGTGGAAAACCAAAAGCTAGATTAAGTGGAAAACCAAAAGCTGTTGATGGGGACCGTGAACTCAACAGCCCAACAGCCTCTGTTTCTGCACAATCCATTTCATCTGTCAGATCTCATGGGAGTTCCTAAGACAAAGTTCTAAACCCTTGTTTATATTTGGCTCGTTGAATATATTCCTTGAAGGATTTGTAAGCACTAAGCAGATTAGCATATGGTTTGATCTCATTTTTTTCATCTTCTCAATTTTTGTGAAGTTTGTGAAGTCTGGGATCTCTTCATGGTTGAGTTCAGTTTGAGCTGTAAATGCTGAATATTTTATTCGATCCTGAAATTTTTCGAATTTATGTATCTATTCTTTGACTAAGCTATTCTTTCCAAAGTTCATGCACCTGATACCTGATTTTTAGTTGAAACTGTGGTTCTATTTTCATTTTACATTCTACATTAGTCCCTAACCTAATTTGAAAAAGCTAACAAAATAGGAAAATTATTTGCAGTAACTATTATATATTGAATGTTAAATGTTAATTATATTTAATAATTTTTTATCAAATTAAGATAATAATGTTAGGAGGCATACCGGCAAATAAACTTACGAAAATAATTACGACAGCGGAAAATAGAAATAGAGGACACACAGAAATTTAGTGGTTCACCCTCAAGAACTGTTTTAAGGCTAACGTCCACAGGGAACCTTTACTCCGAAATATATATCTTCCACTATTAAAAATAGTAGGCCTTAACAAAGAGAGTAATACATAGTGGCAACTCACAAGTTTTCCCAAAAAGACCTCAAATAATTTTTCACTATTTTTTCTAACTTTATTTTAAAGAACCCTTTCTTAAACTGAACTCTCTAATTCTTCTCTCAGCATTTTGTTGGTACCGTCTAAACTGAGAAACATCCTCTCCTTTATAGAAGGGAATGAGAGAAGTCCGTGTTCATTTATTTCGTAGTTGGTTGCCGACCTTTGAATAAGTTCCTTTGAATAGTTGGCAACCAACCTTTTGCTTTTTCAAACGGCACGTTTTTATTATTTTTTTTTTCTTTTCAAATTGTGTGGGTCCCACTTGAGTGGGCACACCACCACCAACAAATTATTATAGAAAGTCTAATATTATTTTTACTTATAATAAAATCAATTATCTATCAGTTAAAAATACTTGAATAGAAGAAAGTTTTGCGTTTTGTAATTGCTTAACATCATCTATAACTGAGGGTCTTTTCCTTGGTTCCCTTTCAGTACATGTCAAGACCCACAAAAACACATCTGTAACTTCACTGGACAAATACCTCAAAATTTTAATTATACCCAACACTGAAGGAAATCCAACTACTCAAGTAATCTACAGCTACCTAATCGAAAAGTGGTTTAAGGTTTGCAAAGCAGATACAACAACATTTTAAGTCGCTACTTTTTATAGTATTCGGTAACATAACGTTTGAAATAAAGCATTTGGATTAATTTTTATAGATTAAGGTAGCGTTTTGTGAAAAGTTAACTCATGTAACATTTAACTCATAACATTTTATGAAAAGTTACTCAAACAGCTCGTTTAGCTTTCGTTTTATGAAAAGCTACTTAAATTGCTAAACGCTACTAAAATAACTAACAGCTACTAAAACAGTTAATTTTGCCGAACAGACCCAAGTTTCTAATTTCTAGATTTAATTGGCAATAGTTTGCATAATAGACATTAATATTGCACTGTGTTGTCAGAAGATAGAAGATGTCTGACTTAATGAGATTTGTCAGGAAGCATTGGAAAGATTAAGGTTCTGTTTATATGAGTTAACTTTTTATAAAATATTACTTTAACCTATAAAAGCTAGTTCAAACGTTATGTTACGAAACACTATAACGTTTTGATTAGTCGCTAAAAACTACTTAAAAAGTTATTGCCGAACAAAGTTTAAGTAGAAAAAAAAAAAAAAGCTGTTGACGGGGATCACGAGTTTAACAGCCCAACAGTCTCTGTTCCTTCGCAACCCATTTCACTTTTCCAAGTGCAATGCTGATTTTCAGTTAAGACGTGGTTCTAATTTTTCATTTGAAATTGTACATTAATCCTAACTTGCTTGATTAAATAAAGTGCATTGATTTTCCAATAAATTTCTCATTTTCTGAATCTAATTGAAAAAATAACAAAATTAGATCGTAATTTTCCAATAACAAAATTATGAATCTAATTGAAAAAATAACAAAATTAGGTCGTAATTTTCTAATGTTCATTATTATATTTTAGTTATCAACAAGAGCAACTATTGTAGAATTGAAAGCCTGGTATTAGTATGATATTATTAAAACAGAAAGGAAATACAAGCAATTATGACTGATCTGCTAACTAATTCCTTGTGCTCAAATACACATCTCTGCATCTTGAATAGAACAAATGTGCAATGACCCATTTTGGGCTTTTGCTCCTTGTAATTGCTTGACAACATCTCTCATTGAAGGTCTTCTTCTTGGTTCAATTTCAGTACATCTCAAGGCCAACAAATACACATCAGTTACTTGTTCCACTATATCTGAATCATAGAATTCCTCCGCAAGGCCTGAATCTGCAATCCTTCTGATACGCAAGGCCTGATATCTGAATCCTTCTGATATATTCTGTATCTCTCATACACACCTACTCCATTCCACAAAATCTGTTTGCTCCCGGAATAGATGGATCAAAAGGCCTTTCTTTTTGTTATTAGTTCAAGCTAAACAATTGCCATAGCCTATAAACTTCTGATCCTTACTCTTCGTGTCTATAAAATGCTGTGTCTGTCAAAATCACACAAATAGTGAGTACCCAATGAAGCAGCGTCCTAGCGAGATTCTAGGAGAATGTTCAGAAAGAAGTTACCTGGTCAATGCTACTGGTGTGACTATAACAGCTGGAGGGTTGCCGATGCAGAGATTGATCAGAAGCTTAGCACTACAAAATCTGAGATATTGAGGCTCCATATCAGGAGTCAAGGAGAATGTTTTCTGGTTGACATCTCGTGCAAACTGGAGATCGCAATCAATCATGTAGATATGCCAATGCATGGGCAGTTCCATTGGCTATTCGAACGCACATTCTTCGAGAAGTTTGATGTGAGCATTTTTCCATGCAAATATCATGCAGGCCTCCTTTTCCATTTTGTCTGATAGAGAATCAACCCATAATGCTGTTTCTAACCGAAAACCCCAACTATGATCAGATTCCCGGTTCCTGATTTTCCTATGTTGATATTTTCTAACCATACTTTTTGTTTCCTCCGTTATACTAAAGCAATTTTCTTTCGCGCAAAAACTCTTTGTCCTTGGCTAATGAAGCTTTATACAGTTCCATGGGCTCACCTTCCCATAATGTAGTCGTCATTAGATTCTCAGTTGCTTCATCACTTTGGCTGAATATGGTGAATCTGGCCTCGTCTTTTGCAGCAAAACTCGCGTCCTGCTTATGCTTTATGCAGGACAAATGTACATGCCAAATCCGAAGAAGAAAAAGGCAGAAGCCCACACCGCAAGCCTATCATTGCATTTCAACTTTAGAAGGCCTTTTTTTATTGCTTATCGACTTGCACATGATCTCGAAATTCTCCCCAATCTGCCATCCATGTGAAGCGCCTGACGGCGCACATTGACACAATAGGCCAGTAATTTGCCCACAAAATGATGAGGGAGAGTGAGTAAGCAAGGCCTCAAGGTGTCTGGTTATTGGACTCTGTGAAGAGATTGTATGAGAACATTTACTATAGGGATCATTGTTGGATGTCACTAGAATTCAAGTGTTCGGCAAGATTGTGTTGTTAGATATATCGAGTTGTTCTACTTGATTAAATCTCCCAGCTCTGAAGGTATGCACCAGTCAATCCATTACTAACTGAGATTAATGCTATAATTGTAAACTTTTTCAATGATCCAATGAGAAGGTAATTTTCAACTCCATAAATTTCACCCATTTGTTAAGTTCTGTAGAGCTTGCCAGTTCTGAACAGAAAATGCGGAATGCCGCGGTAAACTGATTCTCCCTCAGAATTAAAGTGGATAATTGGTCCAATCCTCAGACTCGGGGAATTGGAGCCATGTCAAATGCCCACATCAAACTTGTATAATTTGTGACAATGTGATAACTGAGATGGTAAAGAACCAAAAAGTTGGTTATATGAAAGATTTACCTCCTCAAGCTTTACAAGATTGCCAAGCTCAGGTGGTACAAGCCCTGTCAACTTGTTCCTGGAGAAGTCAATAGAAGTAAGACCAGAACAGTTGCCCAGGCTTGGAGAAATTGAGCCTGATATGATATTGTTACTGATGTCTATGTGAGAAAGGCTTGGATTTTCTGCAAATTCAGGAAGGGTCCCGGAAATGTTATTATTTTTAAGGATCAATCTCCAGAGTGACGAACAGCTTCCAACATCAGAAGGAATGCTGCCTTGAAGTTGATTATGACCCAAATTTAGAACCCGTAGTTGCTTTCCAAAGCAAAGATTTGGTGGAATTTCACCGGTGAACTTATTATTAGTGAAATCCAGCTGCAATAAGCTGCTGTTGATTCCCAAACTTTGGGGTATGACTCCAAAAAAGTTATTATCATATAAAGAAATGTTCTTTAGAAGCTTCAGCTTAGTCATCTCGACAGGTAGTTCACCAGAAAGGCTGTTATTGTACACGAGGAAATACTCAAGACTTTGTAGTCTCCAAATGCTTATTGGAACCTCCCCACTCAAATTATTAGTAAACAATTCAAGGTCCTTCAACTGAGTCAGCTTTCCCAATTCAGCAGGAATCGCTCCCTCAAGCTGGTTTTTATATAAATTTAAGCGTGTCAAGGACTTGCAATTTGCAAGTTCATGGGGAATTTTCCCAGACAATCGGTTTTCAGAAAGGTCTAGAGCAACGAGCTTGTTTAGCAGGCCAAGGGAAGAGGGAATGCTGCCTGTTAAGTTGCTATGAACAATAGCTAAGATTGTTAAGCTAGTTGAATTTCCCAAATCTGATGGGAGGCCCCCACTGAAGCAATTGTATGAAAGGTCTAAAACACTCAAATTCTTGCCCAAAACCTAAAGGAATGCTACCTTGAAAACTATTATGAGCTAGAAATAAAAAAACAAGGCTTTTTAGATTAGTGAGAGTCTTTGGCAAAGAACCAACCAACTGGTTCTCACCCAAATACAGCCTTTGCAATTTACTACAATTCCCAATTGTCTCTGGAACAGTACCAGATAACTTATTGCCATTTAGCCATAGTTCTTGAACATGAGTCAAGTTACCCACACTAGTAGGGATTGAACCAGTGAAACTGTTATTATTCAAATACACGGATTCCAAACTCGAAATAAGAAACAATGATTCAGGTACCTTGCCAGACAGTGAATTAGAGTAGAAACCCAAGAAACGTAAATGTTGCAGGTAGTTAAAATTATTAGGTACTTGTCCAGTAAAGCCATTGGTGGACAAATCCAAGTACTCAAGTAAACTACAACTAGCTAACTGAAAGGGTGTTTGACCAGAGAAATTGTTATTACTCAAGTCCAAGGTTTGCAAAGTAGATAAATTTCCTATTTCTGGACCCAGTTGGCCATAAATTCCATAACCAGAAAGGTTCACAGTGAGTATAGTGAAAGAAGTAGGGTGACATTGTATGCCTGACCATGAACAAGGAGTAGAGTGTGAAGAATCCCAAGTTGAATGTATGGAAGAAGGCACATGAGTCCAGTGCCTTAAGAGTGACAATAGAGTAGACCCATCAGAGTTGAGAGCAAAAACAGCAGATAAAGACGACAGACATAGAAGCAAGAAATGGTTAAAAACGAGAGACATACCTTAACTGAGGACTTAACTGAGGACTTTTTAAGTTGGTTGGAATGGGGAGTAAGAAGAAAGAAAGGCTGAAATGAGAGATGACAAACAGCAGTAAATAATAATCAAGAATTGGTTGAGTGTTGAAGAAAATGAGAATTGATTCATTAAATAGAATGGTAAGTGTGAAACCAGAGTAGTTGTAACAAAATCAAGAAATTCCAAAGATCGGTTTAAAGTTCAAGCTCACAGTTCACGCTCATTTTTTGGACTTTGACTTGAGAAAAGCGGTGGACTTGGGGGGACCACATGGACTCTTTACTAGCTGCAGCTTTTGCCGTTTCTGTACCTGCGTGGTAATTATACCCCAAAGTATAATTACTATTTAGTCCCTCAAATTAGATGAATTATACTAATATTTTTATTCCATAATACTTTTCACATTTGGAATTTCACTCTCCATGAAAAACTATCAAATTGTCTAAATTACAATAACTTATTAAACAAATTGAATATATTATCTTTAATTTAATATTAATTGTCTAAGAAAATCATTAAATAAAATAATAATTATTGGTCATAAACTAAGAGTAAATATGAAAAAAATGAATTTATTACTCATTGAAAATATTTTAGAACAAATTATTTTTTCAAATGTGACAAATATTATAGAATAGAGAAAATATTAAGAAATTTTAATTTTCAAATTAAATTATCTGATCTCTGTGTTATAATCATTAACGTCAAAAATGTTTTTAAGAGGTAAATTAGCATACAGTCTCTAGAATTTTATCAAATACATTGATAAGAACCATATTGGTTCGTCCATTTACTATAAAGATATTTTTGCATATATATATATATTCGATTTATATATATTTTTTATTATTGCTATTGTTATACCGACTAAAAGAAAAAAAAAAAAGCAAGAATTTTGTAGGTAAGGACTTACTAATATAATAGATAGATAATGCATGGATGGTTTAATTTTAAAAATTAGAATCCTTATTAGTTCATTTGATCAAAATCTAACAAATATGTAATTACTCCATTTTTATTATTAATAAAGTCTTATTTTATATTAATTCAAACCTAGTCTTTTTTAAAAAAAGAAAAAAGAAAGAAAGCAAAATAGGCATAAAACTATATATATATATATATATATACTATATATATATAGTATATATATATATATATATATAACTATATATATAATATAATAATCTGGTTGAATTACTAATAAATTTCAATCGCTTTAATTGAGTGTTAAACAAAATTAAACTGGATTACTAAATTATTTTGCTAATTAATTTTTTATCAGAATCATTTTCTCTAGCCATTTTATATGGTGCACATATTATATCATTATCTTGATATTTAAATTTACTAATTGCCTTAGGAGGAACATCACTTTGAATTATCCTATCATTTACTATCCATTCAGGTCTTTTATCCCTAGTAGTAATAGGATTTATACTTTTATTAGAACATGTTTTTACTGAAGAAAACCAATCTAGAAACTTAAGTTTAGTTTGAGTTTCAACTTGGTGTTTTAAATATTCTTCTTTTAAATCATCGAAATTATAATCTTTTAAAATTTTATTAAACTTCATTAAATTTTTAGATTTAGTAATTTCTTTTATAAGGTCTTTATTAATATCTTCTTTAGTTAAAACATTTAATTCACGATTTATTTCACTAACATTTTCAGTTATAGTTGAAGCTGTTGGTGATTCAGGTGAAGTATTTACTAAGTTGGATTGTTGATTTAAGTAATTGTCAACTGGGTTATAAATAGCTTGTGGAACTGTATTACTATAATCAACTCTTTTCATTTTAAATGATTGACTAGAATTAGGTAAATCTGAAGTAGAATACCTAGGTTTTACCAGTGTTTGAATTATAGGTTTATATTATATATATATATATATATATATAGATATATATATATATATATATGTATATATTATAATACTAGTATATATAGTGTAATTTTATGCTTTCCCACGCGGGTATTTAAATATTATTTCATAAATATTATCATTGAATTACTTTGATAAGTTTTTAATTTATAATTTCATATTGAAAATTTTTTTATTAATAACAATAGTTAAGCCTTATATTTATTCATAAATGGATGAATAAATATAAGGCTTAACTATTGTTATTAATAAAAAAATTTTCAATATGAAATTATAAATTAAAAACTTTGATGAATATTTGAAATTTAAAAAATATTGATTTTATTTTTATATCTAAATTTAATATAATAAAAATAATTAATACTTTTTTATAATAATTTAGATGCATTATGAATCTATATTTGAAATAGATATTGTAAATTTGAAAGAGTTTTAAGAATTAAAACTATAATAAAGAATTTGAGATTGCATAACTCTTCTTTCACCATTATAAAATATCAGAGCTATTTGATTTGAAATCTCAAATTTGTTACTCAAGCCATGAAAAATATAACTTATGATGATTAATAAATTTGTGATATTTTAATTTTAATTATATCTATTTTCTTGCAAAATTTATTTTTGCAGTCGCTGTAACAAAAATTTTATATTATATAATTGTATTTTTGCATTATATATTATATGTACTCTAAATCTTCACTTTTTAGAAACAAAAAAAAAACCCAATCCTTTTAGAATGAAACAACCCGAATTTTTATCTTCAAAACATTTTTCAATTAAATTTAATGAACCGATAGCCTGGAAATTCATATTAATATTTTAGTGTGAACACTGTGAGAAACTGAACCGAAAACCGATTGAAAAAGCCGTAAACCAATTGAAAATCAAAGATTTGGGCTGAATCGAACCGAATCGAACCGGTTCGACCCCCATCTAGAATTCTCTTCTTCCTCTATTTCCAGCACACGCCTCACTTTCCTCACCCATTTCCTACGCCTCCGACCACCGCGTAGCACCACCGGCGCCACTGCCATCCTCTCCTCTCCTCTATTCTTCTTCTTCTTCTTCTTCTTCTTCCTTTCTTTCTTTCTTTCTTTCCTTTTCCCTTCACTGCGTCGGCGTCCTTGGCGAGACAGAGCTGTAGCAGCGCCGCGCGACACCTCCAGCTCGATCGGACTCCTCCGCGCGCCACATCCAGTCGCTCCATGTCGCAGCGACTCCGCAAGCTCCCTGGATCAGATCGTGCGGCACGAGTAGACTCAACCTCCCTCTGCCTTCGATCGAGCAAGCATCGCGCCTCATCCAGCTCGTCGCGCCATCACCACCGCCCAGCCATCACTTCAGCATGCCTCTGACCACCAGAAACGAGCCTGTCCAGCTCCTTCGCGCCACCTCCGCCTCTCTCTGCCACTGCCAGTCGACCTCTGGCCACCAGCCTCCATTTTCGGTTAATCAAAATTCCGGCAACAATATATATATTGGGTATAATTTAATTTTAGTAATATTAGTTAATTAAATTAATTTTATTATTTGTAGTTAATTAATTTAGTTAATTTAATTTATTGTGAGTAGTTAATTGAGTTATAATGTTAAGTGTTGATAATTAAATTATTGGGTGTGTGATGCCTGTAATGTTTTAATGCCCCCACCTGACTCGTCGTGATATGAGGATAATGCGGATGGCATCTACGATCGAACCAGAATTGTTAAACCACAATTTTGAATCAAACCTGCCAAAACGGTCTGACCCGCTTTAGGGTTGCGTCACGCAAGCTATTACCTACGTGCGGCACTTATTACCTACGTCACGCAGCGTCTAATAGGTGCTGACAATCCTCTGGCGCGCCCCGAGCACGGCCTGCAATGTTGTATGGGATACGCCGCACTGTACGAAAAGTAAGTTCGTCGTCACGCAGCTGTACGGGCGCGCCACGCATCTATTGCGACTATGCTCTGTTGCCCTAGCCATATAAATACCACATTCTACACCAAAAACGGGACTTTTTGACTTGGCTCTCATTTTTCTCTAAGAAATATAGCTTTCTGAGTTTAAGTTTTTAGATTAACGACTAGAGCTTTTTCTCAAGAACTCAACTGAGTAAACTTGAGGAATATCAAGTCATAGATATTTTAGATTTAAAATAAAAAAAATATACAAAAAGATAAGAAGAGGAAAAAAGAAACAAAGGGAAAACGATTTATTTTGTGAAAGGATTTGGCAAACACTTCTGGAATCGTGATACAACGTCTCTGAGTTAATCTCAGCGCATGCAATCCTAAAATCTGAGGGCTAGGTAACTAATCTAAACTTTATCTTTCATTTCTAGTATTTTATCTCTTAAAAATCTCATTTTCATATTTTATAAATCACCTCATCCACAAATTTATTAATCATCATAAGTTATTTTTTCATTGGTTGGAGTAACAAATTTGAGATTATCAAATTTCAAATAGCTATACTGATATATCTCTTCAATATATATGCTGCTGAATTATAAGTTTTGATGCAATCTCAATTCCGTTATATATGAGTATTTTGTCTTTAAAACTCTCCTTAACATTTACATATATTATTTTCAAATGTAAGATTCATTGATTGCCTCTAATCAATTATTATAATTAGTATTAAATGTATTAATTTCTTTATTTCATTTATATATTGTAGATATTTAAAAATAAAAATCAAATTATCTTTGAACTTAAATTTTCAAAATATTCATCAAAGTTTTTAATTATTAATATTTCATATTGAAAATTTTTCTTATTATAACATATCAGATAATCTCTTATCTCCATTTATCATCCATTTATAGAATAATGTATTTAGATGTCTAACTATTAGTTATTATATAACAAAAGAGATTGTGCTCAATATACCGTTGTAGTAATTTATAAAGTGACTTATCCCAGTAATAATCAACATTATAATTATTTAATAGTAATATAAATCTTAGCAAGTACACGCAGCTAGCTGACCGAAGCATAAAATTATCTAAATTACAGACTGAATATTTAATCGAAAATTCATATATATTAACTATAACAATATTTAAGCTAAATTTAAAGTAATCAGGCCTAATAGTGAGTTAGTTAATAGTATATTCTATTTAGTTCATTATATACATTATTAGATGTACTATTTAAATACCTCCTTTAATTGCTTACACACTGTTGTAAAATTGCCTAGTGTGTATTTACATTTCAGATATGTTACCTAGATTTCTAGTAATCACTTTAAAGAATGGAAAAGGGGAGGTTACAATGTATTGGTAATACAGTTTCACAAGCGTGATTTAATAACCCA